TAATGTCGCTAATTAATTTTTAATTAATTAATTTTTATTAAAATTTATAGTAAATTATGTTTCCATACTAATTGTAATCATATTTAGTAAAAAAATTATAATATACAAAGCGTTTCTTACCACTACTTTATTACTCGAGAGTCACCGTACGAATGATGACAAAGCGGCACCGTATAGCGCGCTACTGTTTATATTTTATATTGCCAAAATCAAACATCGTGTTATCGATAATTCGTTACCGAAATATTTTATATATTATAAAATATACATTAACGTAAAACATTAAATTATGAAAGTATTTAATTTTTTGATTAAAATTGATTATATATTAAACAATTTATCACGGAATCTTTCGTTATGCTAATTAGGTGCATCTATAATTCGATTGCTTTACTTCGCGTTCTTTCACATCTGAAATTATATTTAAATTATCAAGTGAAACGATAAAATAACACGGATGAAATATATTTGTGATTCAAGATATTAAAATAATAATTATTGTCCGTAGAAATCGCAATTATCAAAGTGATTATTTAATATATTAAATCCCTATAATTTCATCGATTTTCGATTAAATTGTGTATTTAGAAAGATTGAGAAAACTTAAAGCATCGAATCGAAATGTATTTAATTCTAATATTATATTCTAATATTATAGAGAAATATTGTAATAAGTATCGATGATCGAAATATCACAACATAATCTTTTATCTTCTTTTATGTATAATTTGTTTCAATTTTTAATCGCGGTAATCAATGATTGCAATGATAAAGATTTATCGTTGCTATACTGTTTCATGTCGCTAATTAATTTTTAGTTAATTATATTTTATTAAAATTTATAGTAAATTATGTTTCCATATTAATTGTAATCATGTTTAGTAAAAAAATTATAATACAAAACGATTTTTACCACTACTTTATTACTCGAGAGTCACCGTACGATTGATGATAAAGCGGCACCGTATAGCGCGCTACTGTTTATATTTTATATTGCCAAAATCAAACATCGTGTTATCGATAATTCGTTACCGAAATATTTTATATATTATAAAATATACATTAACGTAAAATATTAAACTATGAAAGTATTTAATTTATTGAATAAAAATAATTATTTATCATATAATTCACGCAGTCTTTTGTTATGCCAATTATTTGCTTCTATTAATCGATTGTTTTACTTCGCGTTCTCTCACATCCCAAATTATAATTAAATCGCTATAATTTCATCGATTTTCGATTAAATTGTGTATTTAGAAAGATTGAGAAAACTTAAAGCATCGAATCGAAATGTATTTAATTCTAATATTATATTCTAATATTATAGAGAAATATTGTAATAAGTATCGATGATCGAAATATCACGACATAATCTTTTATCTTCTTTTATGTATAACTTGTTTAAATTTTTAATCGCGGTAATAAATGATTGCGATTTGCTAAAGATTTATCGTTGCGATAATGTCGCTAATTAATTTTTAATTAATTAATTTTTATTAAAATTTATAGTAAATTATGTTTCCATACTAATTGTAATCATGTTTAGTAAAAAAATTACAATATACAAAGCGTTTCTTACCACTACTTTATTACTCAAGAGTCACCGTACGATTGATGATAAAGCGGCACCGTATAGCGCGCTACTGTTTATATTTTATATTGCCAAAATCAAACATCGTGTTATCGATAATTCGTTACAGAAATATTTTATATATTATGAAATATACATTAACGTAAAATATTAAACTATGAAAGTATTTAATTTATTGAATAAAAATAATTATTTATCATATAATTCACGCAGTCTTTTATTATGCCAATTATTTGCTTCTATTAATCGATTGTTTTACTTCGAGTTCTCTCACATCTTAAATTATATTTAAATTATCAAGTGAAACGATAAAGTAACACGGATGAAATATATTTGTGATTCAAAATATTAAAATAATAATTATTGTCCGTAGAAATCGCAATTATCAAAGTGATTATTTAATATATTAAATCCCTATAATTTCATCGATTTTCGATTAAATTGTGTATTTAGAAAGATTGAGAAAACTTAAAGCATCGAATCGAAATATATTTAATTCTAATATTATATTCTAATATTATAGAGAAATATTGTAATAAGTATCGATGATCGAAATATCACGACATAATCTTTTATCTTCTTTTATGTATAACTTGTTTAAATTTTTAATCGCGGTAATAAATGATTGCGATACGATAAAGATTTATCGTTGCAATACAGTTTCATGTCGTTAATTAATTTTTAATTACTTAACATTTATTAATATTCATAGCAAATTTTGTTTCAAGACTAATCATAATCGTGTTTAACAAAAAAAATTACAATGTACGAAGCGTTTCTCACTACAACTTTATTACTCGAGAGTCACCGTGCGAATGATGATAAAGCGGTAACGTATAGAGCGCTACTGTTTATATTTTATATTGCCAAAGTCGAATGTCATGTTATCGATAATTCGTTGCTAAAATATTTTATATGTTATAAAATATACATTAATGTGGAATATTAAGTTAATGAAGTATTTTAATTTACTGATTAAAATTGATTATATATTAAACAATTTATCACGGAACTTTTTGTTATGCTAATTATGTGCATCTATAATTCGATTGTTTTACTTCGCGTTTTCTCACATCCTAAATTATATTTAGATGATCAAGTAGAACGAAAAAGTAACACGGATGAAATAGATTTGTGATTCTAAGTATTAAAATAATAATTATTGTCCGTAAAAATCGCAATTATCGAAGTGATTATTTTATATTTTGGATCCCTATAATTTAATCAATTTTCGATTAAATTGTGTATCTAATTAACAAAGATTGAAAAAATTTAAAGCATTGGACGAAATATAGTTAATTCTAATATTGTTAAAGAAACGTTACAATAAGCATCATTGATCGATATCATAACATAATTAATTTTTTTATCCTCTTTTACGTATCCCGTATTTCAATTTTTGTTCCCAGTAATGAATGATTGCGATTCGATAAAGATTTATCGTTGTGATACAATTTCATGTCGTTAATTAATTTTTAATTAATTAATTTTTGTTAATGTTTACAGCAAATTATGTTTCAACATTAATCGTAATCGTGTTTAGTAAAAAAAAATACAGTATACGAAGCGTTTCTTACCACTATTTCATTACTCGAGAGTCACCGTGCGAATGATGACAAAGCGGGAACGTATAAAGCGCTACTGTTTATATTTTATATTGCCAAAGTCGAATGTCATGTTATCGATAATTCGTTGCCAAAATATTTTATATATTATAAAATATACATTAACATGGAATATTAAATTATGAAAATATTTAATTTATTGATTAAAATTGATTATTTATCAATCAATTCACGGAGTCTTTTGTTATGCTAATTATTTGCATGTATAATTCAATTGTTTTAGTTTGTGTTCTCTCACAATCCAAATTATATTTAGATTTTCAAGAACGATAAAATAACACGGATGAAATATATTTGTGACTCTAAGTATTGAAATAATAATTATTGTCCGTAAAGATCGCAATCATCGAAATGATTATTTAATATCTTGGATTACTATCATTTAATCGATTCTCAATTAAATTGTATATTGTTTAATTAACAAGGATTGAGAAAATTTAAAGCATTGATTGAAATATATTTAAGTTTAATATTATTAAAGAAATAATATAATGAGCATCGATGATCGAAAGATTATGTTTAATTCTCCTATCCTTTTTTATGTATTTTCTGTTTCAATTTTTAATCGCGGTAATGAATGATTACGATTCGATAAAGATTTAACTGTATCATATAACATCAGTGTTAACATATCATATAACAATCAGTGATTAATTTGACAAATTCTACATGTATTAATAATTAAATAAGTAATAAATAAATAAGTAAATAATTAAATGATTAAATAATATAATAACTTTTTTGAATAATTAAAAAAGTGATTAATAAATATCAAAGATCAGTTTATTGCTAATTAAGATTTATAAAAATAACGGTTAAAAATGTTTTTATTCCACAGCAGGCATTTTGTGTTTTGTAAATAAAAATATACACATGGCATATAATAAACATGGCAATGAATATAGAAAAATATTTATTTCATCTTTGAACATTATATTAGAAGATTACAGTATCTTTCACGATTGCATAATTTATTTACTATCAATTTATATACATGAATGTCTTGTTATACTCTGGTGCTACCGGCATTTCGTGCATATAGCACGGAACGAAACCAGAAATTGTGCACATGATACCCTCTGAGAACATTCATGGACATTGGCTTTGTAGTTCATGTCCACGTTTTCAATATCCATAGAGGGAGGATCGCTTTCAGGGATCATCTAAAAGCACGTCATGACATCTCTCAATCTTCTCTCTGCTAGTGCACTATTTAATTATTTTGAATTTGGCGGCACTGCTATTTTAATTATATTGAATTTCGAAGATTAGCAGCACTGCTTTTCGAAACGCGCCGAGGTAACTCGTACAGTTCGCAAGTCGTTCCGCGATTTCTCACGATTATCATTTAAAAGTGATGAATTATCACGAATATCTTTCGTAAAGTGTCGTAGTGCATCGAACATCGCAGATGGAATCATTATCATACACCGATGACGCGATTTCGGTGTCGATGATCCACGTTTGCGTCGAAGGAAGAGGAAATCTGGATCAAAATGTGCAGGTATGCATGGTATGCATATATCGTCATATTGCCACTATCCTTTTCGCGACGATATCGAATAATTAGAATAATTTTGATCTGTACAATATATATTTCGCATAACAAAATAAAATATATATACATATTCACGTTCCAAGCCGCGCAAAATGTAACGCCGGCGGCGATTTTTCGCGACGACTCGTCGGCCATTTTCGGACGTGTTCGTCGACGCTCGAGTTGGCGGGCAGTTCGTCGATCGCGTGGCGCGCACGTCCCCAGTTAGCAATCGGCGCGTAGATGAGTCGTGTGTCCCGGACACGACGTGCCCGGCCGGATCATCCTCTCGTGCGAAATACGGAAGTGATCGCTCTCTTGCGCCGCGAAATTATACTCTCCCTAAAAAGTCCGAGACTCCCTAAAAAGGCGAAGAGACGATTTGTGCGAGTAGAATGTATTCGCTTCGAGAAATGAATCGCGTTTAAATCGCAAAGTCGTTCATCAACGACAATATAAGTCGAAATCGTGCGATATGACAATATAATGCGATGCAGTGATGATGTGACATCGTAATGACAGATACTTAACTGGAAGTGAAGGTACGCCCTTTGCTTATAATTGTAATTTATGATTAGCTGATTTTTCGGATATTATTTATTATGCATTTCGTTAAAACATGGTATATTTTTATTTCTTTTTACAAAGTTATATAATATTATATATAATATTATATATAATATTATATAATACGTTCGTTCCCGTAATAAATAAAACATTTGCGGAAATAGGTGACGAGCTTTGTGATATCTTTCAAAACTTTTGTCACGTTAAGATGCCACTATCATGATAATATCATTGTTGATACATAATGCATTATTTAGCACTTCTTTTCTTCATATCATTTATGTCGTTAAAATAAATTTTAGAAGGCTTACTTTATTTTTTGAACTTTTTATGTTATAGTTTTGTGTGTGTCTTCCAAATTATAAATTTTTTTCCGTGAATTTTTTCACGGATCAGATCCACTCTTATTCCATATATATTTTAACACTGTGATTTCTTTATAATAAATACCATGTTTTATCGTATAATATTTTTACTTCAATGAATCTTCTAGTGCATACCTGTTGATTCTACAAAGCTCTCGTTTTATCCTTTAGATGGTCAACGAATATAAATCCACTCATAATTTGCTCATAACGATTTTAGTTAGATGTACTTATTTCAAGCTCTCTCTCTCTTTCTTAAGGAATTTAATATCTCTGCTCATAATTATGAACATACGGATCACGATTTACATCTCTTTCATTTCTTTATATTTACATAAGCTCTTTGATCATGAATATACTCTTCCGATTATCCAGAATATTTTATCGAAATATCTAACGTTACTGCGTATTAACTTCATCTCTAATAAAATTATTATTATTTATTAGAGATAAAATTAACATGTCGAACGCGTTGCTTCTTCCATGATAGATATTTAATGAGTACTTGTGTTGAATAAACACAATGTTATCTACGGATTTTTGTTCCTTCATCTTTTTCGTCATAATTATTCATTTAGATTTCTTGCTCGTATAAAGATTTGTTTTTTTCTGCTTGAAATTCAGTCGCAAACAAATAGCAAGAGCATACTTGTTTTGTATATTCCGCTTTTATCTCGTATTGAATCGGACGCATTATGATGTAAAGATTAATCGAATTGAATTTTATTCTATACATATTATGCGCGAATCGTGAAATCTGAATTCGAGAACAGTGTAGCAGAAAATAATGGATAATTGAAGAATGGAATAGAGGTCCTCTTGTTATTTATCGAAATAAGTACGATAAAACATGTGAGAAGATTTTCGAGAAGATTTTCAAAATTTGTGAATTATATGTACGAAATACATAAAGTATGCTTTTCGCTTCATGCTTTTATACGAGAACAAACATATTTACATTAGCTCATTTTCATTCGTAAAATATTAACGATAAATATAAAATGCGTAAAATATAAAATATAATATCGAGTAAGAAAATTTATTATTTATAAAAAATAATTTTGATCTTAAACGCTGATGAGTTAAAAATTCATATATTTAATGATAAATATTAAATTTGATGAAATATTTGTAAAGAATTAAATGATGTGTTAATAAATATCAAATAGTCAAACGTTTCGATAATCAAGAGAACTATTCGTCGAGAATGTCTATGAACATCAAACGCGAAAGGTACACATTGCTACTTGCCTTAACTGTCTTTGGTTTCGAAATTCGAGAGCACTTTAGATTTGCTTTGTAAACTTGAAGTGCTTCTATCGAGATAATTTCAAAGCTTTCATTTAGCTTACAGTTTCATTGTTGCTCATTCCGTTCGTTTTAATAGTCAGTTCACTTTGTTCATTGATCACTTAATTAAACACAGTGCATTATAATTGCTTAATGACCTCAAAAAATTTGAGTGCTTATATTTTATATATATAATGTTTATATTATATATATATATATATATATATATATATATATATAATCTTAATTTTTTATATTCTTCGCTTTATATTTCAATTTGTTGATTATTCGAGGATTCTTTTTATCTATAGATAGTTCGATGAAAAATGAACATCAAAGTAAAAATTAATTGTTAACGAATTGAGCGATTAATAATATTTACGAATTATGTATATTGGAATGATATGGTAAACGGTTGCAAGTCTCAATATTTTAACTCTTGCAGACGTTTGCTCGACAACATTGAGTCGCGACGAGAGAATCAAAAATAGCTCTAAGCACCTCATTCAATTCTCTTAGCCACAAAATGGGACTACTAAATCTTACATTTTAATAATAATATAAATTTAGTGCATTATAACATAAATTTAGTGTATAGATTTAGTATAATTTAATATATATATATATATATATATATATATATATATATATATACTTATTTATATATAATGATGTTTTCTTTCTCTTTAATATTAATTATTTTAATCTTTTTTACTTTATAATAATACAAATTTTTATGTCATTCATATTATATATATAATAAACATGAGATATCGAAATGTTCCTATTCTAATTTTGTATTTATGAAATTTTTTGTTCTTGTTTCAATGTGGATTATTCTGATCATTCTGTTTCGAAACTGATTTGTTAATTCTCGAATTTTCGGATTTTTGTATTACTCAATATTTTAATAAATTATTAACTTTCAAAATTTCTGAGCAGCGACGTACAACGAAACATAGAAAAAGTACTTTTTTAGAATTTTTTAACATCCATTTTATTCGGCTTATTTTATCGTCTTGAATATTATATTTCCTAGAACAGCATTTCACAGAGACTGCTATTAGTCATGGGATTGCTATTTCCTATTTAGAAAAAAAACATAGAAGCTCGCAAAAAAAATAACGACAACGTAGGATGTTGTACGCGATTCAAGTACATCGTTACTAGAGATAACAAATCATAATAATGTTCGCTTTTACGCTGTTGCCGAGTCGTTCATAGTATATCCCATTATTAAAGATATATTTTTTTCTTGCAATAATCAATAATGCATCTTTAATATGAATGTTAATATTTTTTATTACTTTGTGTTATAATATATATATCATTGATTATGTTTTATAAAAGTATTAACATGTATAATAATATTTTAAAAAACATAAGCAATGATATACTTTTTATATAATTCTTTTTAATTAACAGATTTTTTCTAATTTTATGTCTTCATATTTTACATATTATAAAATCATATAAGAGAAACTTAGAACCTGTTAGAATCTGCATTATGTCTCTACTTTAAGATTAATGAAGATAGTTTGCTTTGAAAAGTCTAAATAATAAAAAGTTATATTTAAAGTCAAATAATTTACAAATTATTGTGAATAAATTGTAGAAAAAATGCATTTTTAGAAAAGATTGTACTAAGAAGAATCAAATAAAAAAGTATAATGTTTAATTTTAAATCATAAGATGTGAAATGAAATTAGTCAATTTTTTCTTTTGTGAACTGTATTTATTTATAATCAAGACTTTAAATCTCTTTATATTAAAAAAAACACAATGCTTATCAATAAAATTACCAATATATAATATTAATAATAAATAATGACAAAAGAAATATATGGTCCGGATGATAACAAAACGCAATAAAAAGGAAGGTTAAAAAACCGTGGCGCAGGATGTTAGCACGTGAAGAAAATAAAAATAATAATAAAGTTTCTAATTAAGAGACAATATATTAATAATAAATTAGTTATACAAGTTAGTTATACAAGTACAAAAAGTATGTCTAAAAAAAGATATTAATTCGATTGAAAAAAATTAATACATATGTACGTTTCGATTTTTTCAAGATCCTTTTCAATGTTCCGAATCTTTATAGAAAATAGAATAAAATTTAAAATAAAAATAACAGAGCGCGATTAGACAAGGACAAGCGTGATAGGAAACGGATAGACATTGTGTACAATTCCAACGGACGTAAAATTTAAAAGCGTTGCCCTTTTTTCAGAAACTTTGCTTATGGCCAGGCATTATTAGTTTTTCGTTTTTAACTGTTTTATGTAATTGCGCTTTCTACTTTAAATTATTTTTCATATCAATTGTCTACGCTTTTAAATTTTACATCCGTTGAAATTGTACACAATGTCTATCCGTTTCCTATCGCATTTATCCTTGTCTAATCGCGCTCTGTTATTTTTATTTTAAATTTTATTTTATTTTCTATAAAGATTCGGAACATTGAAAAGGATCTTGAAAAAATCGAAACGTACGTATGTATTAATTTTTCAATTGAATTAATATCTTTTTTAGATATACTTTTTGTACTTGTATACCTAACTTATTATTAATATATTGTCTCTTAATTAGAGACTTTATTATTATTTTTATTTTCTTCACTTGCTAACATCCTGCGCCACGGTCTTTTAACCTTTTTATTGCGTTTTATTAATAATAAATAATTATTGCAAATTGTAAAAAATGGTCAGAAATTAAAAATATAGCAATAAGTATCTTTCCTTTCGATCAAAAATTTTTTGTTACATATTACGTAATATATTCAATTTCCACTTTAGATAATTAACTAATTAACTTTATTAGATCAATTACTCTTGTGTCAACTTTCCTTTCAATTCACATTTATTTTAGCGCAGACTAACTGACAACCGCAAGCTTTTCTTTACTTTTGAAAGATTGCGTTGACTTTTCCGTTTTTCACTTCGATCTATTTTTCTCTCTTATTTTTCGTGTTCGGCAGACAGAGAGAGATGCGCGTTGGTGTCGAATACGGTATCCATGTCAGTCCCATAAATAGAAGGGTATATGAGCTTACATGGGACACTTGCTTGCCGATATAAATCAGCTTGTAACCGTGCATATAGGCGCGATACAGTCAGTAAGGCTAACAGGAAGCGAAATTAGAACAAACGTGGGTTACTCCCCAGTGTGTCATTCTCGATTTCGTGGTAAGGGACAAGATGATCTTACCCGGAAATTGATTCTATATTAATATCATCTTACATTACTCCGATTTCTTTGCACGTGTATAAGTGTCGTTCTATGCAGAATTGCTTTAAATTATATTTGAAAGATCTAAA